AGCACTGGGAATCAATAAATTGGATGTCCACTCAGAAACCTAATTAGAAAGGCGGTAATTGTAAAGACGACAGATGGATAAATTCATAATAAAGGGAAGAAACCAGCCTAAAAAGGCTGAGAATACCCAAAATCAGAACCCCCCTCTCTCTACAGGGATTGCAGTTCCTCATCAGCAACAGAACAAGCCCTGATGGAAAAGGACTGTGTTCCATTATCTGAAGTAGGCTTCAGAAGGTGGATGATAAGAAACTTCCCAGAGTTAAAAGAACTTGTTCTAACCCAAGTAAAGAAACTAAGAACTTTGAAAAAAGGTTTGACGAAATGCTAACAAGAATAGACAATATAGAGAGGAATATAAATGAACTAACGGAGTTGAAAAATACAACACAAAAACTTAGTGAAATATGCACAAGTTTGAATAGCCGAATTGATCAAGCAGAAGAAAGGATACCAGAGGTTAAAGACCTACTTAATGAAATAAAACGAGAAGACAAGAATAGAGAAAAAAGGATAAAAAGGAATGAGCAAAGTCTCCAAGAAATATGGGACTATGTGAAAAGACCTAATCTACGTTTGATAGGTGTACCTGAATGTGACGGAGAGAATGAATCCAAGCTGGAAAATACTCTTCAGGATATTATCCAGGAAAATTTTCCCTATCTAGCAAAGCAGGACACTATTCAACCCCAGGTAATACAGAGAACACCACAAAGATATTCCTCAAGAAGAGCAACCCCAAGGCACATAATCGTTAGATTCACCAGGGTTGAAACGAAGGAGAAAATACTAAGGGCAGCCAGAGAGAAAGGTCGGGTTACCCACAAAGGGAAGCCTATCAGACTTATAGCAGATCTCTCAGTGGAAACTCTGCAAGCCAGAAGAGAGTGGGGACCGATATTCACCATCCTTAAAGAACAGAACTTTCAGCCCAGAACTTCATATCCTGCCAAACTAAGCTTCACAATTGAAGGAAAAATAAAATCTTTTATGAACAAGCAAGTACTCAGAGATTTTATTACCACCAGGCCTGCTTTATAAGAACTTCTGAAAGTAGCATTACACACAGAAAGGAACAACCAGTATTAGCCTTTCTAAAAATATACCAAAAAGTAAAGAACATCAACATAAAGAAGAATTTACATCAACGAATGAATAAAATAGCCAGTTAACATCAAATGGCAGTAATTCTAAATTTAAATTGACTAAATCCCCCAATCAAAAGATACAGCCAAAACCTAATGGTATACTACATCCAGACCCATTTTATATCCAAAGATACACAAAGACTCAAAACAAAGGGTTGGAGAAAGATCTACCAACCAAATGAAGAGCAAAAATAAATAAATAAACAAAAAGCAGGAGTTGCAATTCTTGCATTTGATAAAATAGATTTCAAAGCAACAAAGATACAGTGGTAAAAGGATCAATGCAACAATAAGAGCTAACGATCCTAACACCCAGATACATAAGACCCATAAAGAGATTTAGACTCAACAAGACAGAAAATCAATAAGGATATCCAGGACTTGAACTTAGATCCAGAACAAGTAAACTTAATAAATATTTATAGAGCTCTCCACTTTAAATACAGAAAATATTGATCGGCCATTATTAGTAACCGTTTTTAGAATAAAGCAATATTCCTGTTCTCTCTCCTTCTTTTTCTTCCTCTTTCTTCCTCTCCTTCTCTCCTTTTTTTTTTCTTTAAAAAAAAAATCAGTTGTACTAATGTGAGTCCAATTCTGGGCACTGTATTCTATAACATTGATCAATGTGGCTTTTCCACATAACCTTGATTACTATGGTTATACTATGGAATAAGTCTTGAAATGGGACACACTGGTTTCTCCCATTTTATTCTTTTTGTTCTTTAGATACAAGGTTCTTGCTCTGCCACTCAGGCTGGAGTGCAGTGGCTCAAACACTGCTCACCACAGTCTCAAACTCTTGGGCTCAAGCAATCCTCCCATTTAAAAAAAAAAAAAGTGGCATGGTGTGATGATGTGTGTGTGTGTGTGTGTGTGTATGTATGCGCATGTGTGTGCATGTGCGTGTGTGCGCGCATGAGATTAAACCAAAGCACTGGAAACAGAAACCACACCCTCTAAATTGGTTTTCTTTCTTAAAGATGTGTCAGTACACCTTGAAAAAAAAAAAAGACTCAACAATTAACAAATCAACCCAATACAAAATTAATCTAATAAAAATCGACAAAGAATCTGAATAGATATTTTACTAAAAATGTTTTGTGCAGTTGGAAAATAAACATATAAACTTTCTCAACATCATTTGTCATTGGGAAATGTAAATTAAAACAGCAAGGAGATAAAACCCCGTAAGACAAATATCAAAATACCTTGAGGATGCAGGCAACAGAAATTCTCATTCATTATTTATGGGAATAAAAAACTGGTACAGCCATTTTGGAAGACAATATGAAAGTTTGTTATAAAGTTAGAAACAGACTTATATGACCTCAGCATCACACAGAATCTTTGCTACCCTCAAAGATTACACAGGAAAGAAAGAAAAAAAGAACAATCCTTCATTCCTGTTGTATGTAAAGGTCATAAACAGACTCCTCAAAATTGAGAATTTTTTCTGATACTTAAGAAATTTCATACCTTTTTCAGATGCAGGTATTAGACACCAAGCAAATAAAATTCACTTTCCAAGTGTATTACATTTCCAGGTGCAACTAAATCTCAGATAGAACCGTGTAGTCTTACTGACTTGAAAAATCAGACAATAGAGTCTGGAGGGAAAACAGCAGCTGGAAAGTGAAGAAGGAGGTGGGAATCCTGGAAAGCAGAGAGACCCAGGACAGGAGCCAAATTCTATGTATAAACTTTGCTCACATTTCAGTCTGACTCTTGTACCTATACAATGGGCAGACCCCAAGGGGCCAAATTTAGGTTGAAAGAATCTCTATATCAGAGGCTGGGTGCTGTGGCTCATGTCTGCAATCCCAAACACTTTGGGAGGCAGAGGCGGGTGGATCATCTGAGGTCAGGAGTTCGAGACCAGCCTGCCCAATATGGTGAAACCCCGTCTCTACTAAAAATACAAAAAATTAGCCGAGTGTGGTGGCACGTGCCTGAAGTCCCAGCTACTTGGGAGGCTAAGGAAGGAGAATCACTTGAACCTGAGAGGCGGAGGTTGCAGTGAGCTGAGATTGTGCTACTGCACTTCAGCCTGGGTGACAGGAGCAAGATCCGCCTAAAGCAAAACAAAACAAAAACAAGCAAGCAAACAAACAACAACAAAAATACTAGAAATACAAAAACAAAACAAAAAAAAACCAAAAACCAGAAATATGTGAGCCACAGACAAGAGAAAAGGCGATCTGTGGGAAGGCCCTGGGAAGGAGCAGTGGCTGGGATCAGCAGAAAAGGATTTGAACACGATGCTGAAAGACACAGAAGTACATGCTCACTGAATGAACATATAGGAAATCTCAGTAGAGAAAGAGAAATGATCATAAACCAATTTAAGATTATAGCACTTAATCTGCCATCAGAATACATTTAATGAGATGGTCATCCAGAGTTATGGAAAATAAAAATAACCCTAAAGTTTGCTTGCAAAGTATTGGAGTTGTCCAAGAAGTGCCATGGGGGAGTGTGTAGGTGGGGGAGGTAAATGGGTACTTTTGTATGGAACAGGGTACAGGAAAGGAGTAGGGAACAATTAGTGTTATGGCACTTTCTCAATGAAGGAAAATAGTTGGCATTTTCGTCGGCAAATAAAAGAAGAGTCATGTGTGATAAGATTTAAAAAGCAGGATAAGACCAGGAGTGGTAGCTCACGCCTGTAATTCCAGCATTTTGGGACGAGGAGGTGAGCAGATTACCTGAGGTCAGGGGTTCGAGACCAGCCTGGCCAACATGGTGAAACCCCATCTCTACCAAAAATACAAAAAATTAGCCGGGTGTGGTGATGGGAGCCAGTAATACCAGTTACTTGGGAGGCTGGGAGGGGAAGATTGCAGCTAGCCGAGATCGTGCCACTGCACTCCAGCCCGGGCAACAGAGCGAGACTCCATCTCAAAAACACAAAAACAAAACAAACAAAAAATAAAACGCAGGGGAAAAGGCACTGTAGTGATTAAAGAGAAGAAACCTGCAAGGAAACATCAAAGTTAACAAGGGGAAGAAGTGGAATGAATTTTTAACTATCAAACTGGGAAAAATAAGGTAAACGCAAAAGAGAAACCATCCTTCAAGTAATAAGCACAAAGAGGAATAAAATCAAACAGTCTTCACTATGAATGAACTGAATAAGCTCATTAAAGACAAAGACTGTTAGATTAGGTGACAAATTAAAAACTAATAGTAAGGTATCACACACACAAAATTAAAGCAAAAGTGACCATATCACAAATGGATAGTGAGATTTTTTGAGTGTCAGCTTGGTGAGGTCAGCCTGGAAGGGCGACAGTCAGAAGGGAGTTTCCTTTCAGTGGAGGTGAAAGGCTCCCAGCATGCAAATCCTGTGGCAGCAAAGGTGAGGGAATGGGTGATTTCCTGGCAATTCCAAGTCCCCAAATGGATCCAAGAACAACTGGAGCATTTGAAGTGAGCAATTGCCTGAGCAAAGATGGGAAGGAGGAACTGGCTACAGGAAAGGGCGCCTCGGAGGTTGCGGTGAGCCGAGATCGCGCCATTGCACTCCAGACTGGGTAACAAGAGCGAAACTCCGTCTCAAAAAAAAAAAAAAAAACTTCCAGAACGGCAAGAAAATGAACCCCATCTTCAACCCTCCTCCCCAACCAACCCGTCTTTCTGAAGCCAGAATAATTTGAGTTCCAAAGGCCAATAAGTTCAGTAAAAAGGAAACTAGGTACCAATTTCACATATTAATATGGAGTCAAAAGTTTAAACAAAGTATTAGCGTAAAGAATCCAGTCACGTGTCGACAACGAGCAGATTGTTCCCGGAATGCCAATGTGTTTCAAAAAAAGATGAAAACGCCAATAAACGAAAGCAGAAAACCTACATGGACGCATCAACAGATGCTGAAAAGGCATTTCCTAGAAGTTGGCAGCCAAACTTGGTAATCTTGCATGTGATAAAGGCGACCGTCTGCTCTGCTCGGAGGCGGCTTTTCAACAGGAGGGGCCGGATGCAGGCGTCACATCCCCCGCGTCCCAGGTCGTAGACCTCGGCCGTCGGTCCTGGCAGTCCCAGAGCCGCAGGCCCGGAGCCCGCAGCCAGGTGCGGCCGAGACCCGCGCGCCCGGGGAAGCGGCGCCGCGGACGCCGGAGAAGGTTGGTGGGGACAGGCTGCCTTGGGCCCAGAGCGCCCACGCAGGACGAGCTGCGCACCGCGGAGGGCTGCTGTGCGGGCGCCAGGCCGCCTTGCTCCGCCCCTGGCCACGCCCGCGGCCCCGCGGTCTCCAGGACCCCGAGCGTGGCCACCCGGCCCAACCCTCCGAGGGAGGAGGGTCCAGGTGCCGCAGACTCTGAGCCCCTGGCCCGGCGTTCGGCCGGCGGGTCCCGGCACTCCTCGCTGGTAAGCCTCGCCATTGCGTGAGCGGTGCTTTCAGAATATAAGGTTCTTCGGGAGACAAAGTTGTAGGAGAGAAGCCTGGATTTCCCCCAAACTGTAAGACAGTATCTTAACTGTATTTAAAAAATTCACTTCAGTTAACATCAGGAATGAAACACCAATGTATCACCATTATTAATATTTTCTTGGAGGTTTTAGTAAATGTAATAAAAACAAAAACCTGAAATAACTGACACGGACATTAGAAAATATTGTATTACTGTTGCTCTAAATTGCTTCCCAAACTGGATTTGCCAACTCGAACTCCATAGCACCTTGTTCTGTGGTTCCATGTATGTCTCCAAAGGGTTAACAGATATCTTTTATTCGTGTGTGTGTGTGTGTGTGTGTGTGTGGTGGGAGGGGGTTGGGGGAAAAGGGGAGGGGAAAGAGGAATTTGATATGTCAACCCTGGCCACTTGTATGATTATCAAATAGCCATTGTGAGGACATTTGTATTACATTAGGATCAATCGCTTTCAAAAATACTTATTCACTAGCAAATTATTAATAATTTAGATTTAACCAACTTATAGGTAACTCCTTATCACCACGTTTATCTTCTGCTTTCTGGAGATGTCCATATTGATTCGATCTTTGCTTCTCTGGGTTATTTGTAATTAAAAAATACAAAGTACACTTTCTGAACCCTTACATATCAGAACTCGTCTTTTGCTTCAACACTTGGTTGATAACTTCAACACCTGGCTCCAGGGACTTCTTTCAGTGTTTCAGGTGAGTCTCATGCTGTTTCAAATTGTAGGTCTCTGGGACCTGCGAATTTTTTCTCTTTATCCGTCTAATTCAGAGCTTAAAGCCTCCATGATTAGAGCCTTGGAAGTACAAAGTCAGGAGAATTAGAATCCTCAGTGGCTCTCTAGTTTTGGTGCATTGTAGGGAAAGCATTTAGTGATGATGTACTTGTGAAGGGACAGTACACATGTAGCGTCTCCTCAAGTCGATGCAGAAAACCAGAACAAAAGGAAGCTTAAGGATGATTACAATAAACTTGCCCATAGAACACAGATTACCATGTCAAAATTATTTTATTAATTTCTAGTTCAAATTTTGAAAAGGTTTCTTAAAAAATGTCTCTTAAATATTAAGACGGCCAAGTCTTTCGGGGAAAATGTTTGTCATTCATCCAACAAATACTTGATTGGCTGCCCTGTGCTTGGAACTATGTGGATAAGGTTTTGCCCTCATGTACTAGAAAATGTATTATCCTGAGATGATCTGATCAACTGGAATTATGTTCACAGGGCAAATAAATTACTGTTCAGTGAATGAGACCGGAAGGCTTTGTGGAAGAGAGAATTAAAAAAGGGACGGAGGATGGGTAATGGGTAAGATTTCGACACGCAGAACTCCTGTGCAGGAGGAGAAATCCAGCATTCTGGGGATGGCGGACAACTGGAGGCAAAGGAACAGATAGCACAGGCTCCAGTGTAAGGAACAATGAGGAATTCTATATGAAAATCATGGAAAAAGGCAGAGGAGGAAATGGCCAGGTGCGGTTAAGGATGGGAGAACATTTTCAGGGTCACTGACTAAATAAAGCTAGCACATAGGAATAAAAATGGGCATATCATATAAAAGAATTTATGACAAAATACAGAAGTAGCACCTGTTGGTACCACTGCAAAAAAAAAAAAAAAAAATTAACGCAGAAAGCTGGGGATGAGTTGAATTTACTGGCTGGAAGTTTTTGGACATTATAGTCTTCAAGACATTTACAGGGTTAATATTTGCTACAGCCACTGATTACCATTAATTCTGGGGTGGAAAAAGCCGACATAACTTAAAAATCTTTAAATAGGGCATCATGGCTTAGGTTATTAACCTCTTTACACAATGAACATCCCTAGGTCACGAGAATCTGTTTACAGGAACTTGCTTAAAAATATGAGATGTGTGTGTGAATCCTCGTAACAGATCGATTATGTATTTTTAGAAACAGCAGTTTACTAACATTAATCCAGTAAGACTGCTAGCGACACTGGCAACACTTTGGACGGAGCCTTAATAGTTAAAATTCTCTAAAGACAAATGGATAATCAAAAGTAATACCTTTCTAAAAATTCTAATACCGTAGAGCAGAAAACCTTATTCGAGGGGCCTTTACACATTCCCCTCTCATTCCCTCAAAACCCTGGCTGTTTTCAAAAAAGAGATCCAAATTTATAGAATTTTCTACTTGTGCATTTATAATACACATTGGGTTACATTTAAATTATCTATTATCTTTTTTTTCTGTTTTTTTTAGATGGAGTTTCACTCTTGTTGCCCAGGCTGGAGTGCAGTGGCGTGATCTCGGCTCACTGCAACAAACACCTCCCGAGTTCAAGCACTTCTCCTGCCTCAGCCTCCCAAGAAGCTGGGATTACAGGTGCCTGCCACCATGCCTGGCTAATTTTTTAGTAGAGATGGAGTTTCACCATGTTGGCCAGGCTGGTATTGAACTCCTGACCTCAGATGATCCACCCGCCTCAGGCTCCCAAAGTGCTGGGCTTACATGTGTGAGCCACCGCGCCGGGCCTAAAGTATCTATCTATTGAGTAAAGCAAAGTGAGCCTATTTACATAAAAAAAAAGACCGTTCACCCTCATCTGCAATAATGGCAGCCAAAGACTACAGTAAAGTGCACTTCTGTGCACTTCCTCATGGATACAGTCTCCATCAAGCACCGTGCTCTTTTCCCATTCCCTTTCTAAAGCAGACAGAACCTGGGAATTTATGTGCTATGCTGTTAACAGTGTTATCAGGGAGAAAAGGTGTTTTCATTTCCTTTAAGGTAAAACTAGTTCCTCCAAAGAATGGCAGTGACATATTCTGAAAAAGTAAGGTAAAAGAGCAAAATATATTCTTTCCATGACGTCCTTTAACTATTTCATATGAATTTAAAACATATTTAGTGTTAATTCTAAGAATATAGAAATGTTGCATTAATTTGCAGAAATTAAACAAAGAAAAAGAGGAAGGAACTGCCAAACTGGAATTACGTTCATTTTCTTTAACCCTCTGAAAGTAGGAAAGCTGAAAAGGTAATGGAAGAATTTTTCCTATCATACTGAAAGAGGTGCTATGAGATACATAACAAATTATTTCTGCAGTTGGTTCCTGGACAGGTATAAACTGAATTTTTTACAATTGTTATCTGTCTCGGAGGCTGTGTCACTAACCCTTTAGCAGATGAGTTTTAGCTGAAATGGTTTGTGTGTAATCGCCATTTTGGTCCACACGAATTATCAAGGGAGCTTTCTTCAGCAAAATTTTAGGCTAACAGCCCAAAGGAAACTCTGAAAGAATAATTTATGGTACTGACAGTAAGTGTTAAAGAAATGCTAAATGCCAGTTTTATCTCCCAGGAACAAGCAACTAATATCCTTTTTTGAATTCTAAACTCACCTAAATTAAAGTTTTGATGCACAGTCTTTTGACTTTTTAAAATTTGCAGTATCTATCCTTCCTATAAAGATACAAAAGTTTTAAAACCAAAAACCTAGATTTTACATTTCATTTCAGCAATAAAGTACTGTCCTAGAGCCAGCTATTAGAATATATTTATCTAATGAGAAAATACTTATAATTTGAAGAAAAAATGTGATAGCAAATAGAAAAGTATCATCTATTAAAATTTCAGGAAGATCTACATTATCTAAAGCCATTCTATAATTTTATTCATATATTTTGTGGAATTCACATATCTTATTCTTACAGCAAACATAACACTGTAGGCCACAAGAAGCCGCAGTACTATTGTTTAATTAGCAGCAAATTAATATTTTATATCTGGGTATATGGACAATAAATAGCCTGCTTCTTTGGATGTGAATGTTTAAAATGTAGTATCACTGCAGCTTCATAATGTGATTGTTATTTTACAGAGCTTATACACACACAAAAAATATGATCTTTGTCTATATTTTATACAAATACAACAGTAGTTTGTGAATACATTTTAAGTACATGATATACATGATAAGCCACTTGATTTCCCAATATCACAGAATAGCAATTTCAAATGCAATAAAAATATACAAAATTCAGCCTGGAATGCAGATATTTTTCTTTTCTATTTTGACTCAAAACTTTATCATTAGAACATTTTTAGAGTACTAGTCCAAACACGTTTTCATTAGCTAAAAATACAATTTCAGCAGTCCAGCTTATGTTCAGGTATGATGCAATCCATTTCCGAATGGATTCCCAGTTTTCGTTAAATTCAAAGGGCTGTTAGTAACATACAGCATGTTCTTCACTCCACACCCTATTATAAAGCCCACTTTCCATTCTGAGTTTTGTCCTTGTGGACAAAAGCTGGGTTTGTTCTGGTAACATCTGCGTGTCCAAGATCTCCTTTTGCAAGTGCACATGAATACATCGTGGTGGTGTAAAAGTTTGTTAATGACACATTAAGTCACAGTATAAAAATATATTGTACACTTTTACACCTAATGTAGTCCTTTTTCTATGGATAAAAAAATATGACTGAATGAGACAGAGAAGTTTGTAGCACCATGAAGAGTTGTAGCCCAAGTTACATTAGCAGCATGATCCAACGTAATATTGAAGGAGTGTTTCTGAGAAGATAAAACATTCATTCTGGTTCATCTGTACCACTGAAGCTTATACAATGAAGTGTTTAATACATTAGCAATAGTTCTGTGTCATTTCTAGTCTAGATAGCATCAAAAAGACACTGCCTTCCATCCTCAGAGGGTTGACAACATCATAGAAAGGCCCTAAGTGTGATCTGGGTGTGCCTTCACCAATGCTGGTCGCATAATCTTCTCTTCCATGACCCCAAAGGAACTCTCTATGGGTTTTTAGCAGAAAACTATACAACGTATGTAGATCTATGTGATCACAACAGACCATCTGTGTTGTTGACACGGCTGCTGACAGTGTGAAAAAAACAAGACAAATTCAACTTAGGCACACATTTACCAGAACTAACAGTCAGCCATTGCTAATGACAAATACTCGACATTTAAAAGATCTCCTCCAATGTCACATGGATCTCAGTAGGCTAGAAGCAACTTGGGTGAACTGGTATTTTTTAACTTACGTACTGGGAAGACAGTGTGCTTTGAGACACGTAAACCTTGTAAAAAAATAAACCATTGTAAAACCTTATGAAAAGACACACACTGATTCTGTGCAATATAGCAAATTGATAAGAAAACACTGTAAAAATGTACCTGTTTAAAATACCATCTACCATTTTTGTACACAAAGCATTATATATCAAAGGCCTAAGATATATATCATCTAATGGCACTTGAAACGAATTATAATAAGTCTTAAAATAAAAGGCATAACCTATAAGAAAGTTTCTGTAAAGGTTTAGATTCATTTTGAAAGTGCTATATCTTGTAATATGTGTAGTATAGAGGTTGACCAAGCTCTATTTTTTAAAAAAATATTGGCCTATAATAATGTGTATTGCTCACTAGATGAATGATCCTGAAAGTATGTACTCCTTAACATTCATTATTAGCTTAATAAAGCAATCAGCTCTGGCTCATGTTTCAGTCAGTAGATGGTTTTTAAAAACCGCTACTGTCCAAATTAACACAATATATCACTATATTCCACAAATGACTAAGAAAAATAAAGCACAAGCAACAAATAGGCCAAAATACACAGCTCGAAAGGAACACTAAATGAAATTAAGAAGTTGCATGGAGAGTGATGCATGATCAGCCAGGACAACTGAAGTTTTTAAAAACTGAACTTGGTAATGATTTTAAAATGAAAGTTTTAACAGTGATCAGTAACTATAAAGTACTTGTATACATCAATGGATAGCATTGCTTACAGTGCCAAGATCCTTCCACACTCACACTTACGTGTTTGGTGACCTAATTTGTACACACATGTGGAAGTGAAACTGAATGAGGTTCAATATCTTGTCTGAGGTCCAAATTCTAAGCTACTCTTATTTAATGTTAATCCCTTTTTTTTTTTTTTTTTTAACCAAGCTAAGGCACTACTAGAAATTTCAAGGATAATGATTCTGGCCACTGGAGAATGAAAACAGCATTGGCAAAACTTATTTTTAATCATATCTAGTTGACATAGAAATAAACAATCTTTTTCTAGGAAAAGAAAAGGAGCCAATTCTGTGTTTCAGCCTTATTAGAACATTGTGCAATTCAAATAAGCAAGTCTGCCTCCTCTTCAATAGCAATTCTCTCAAAAAGGGTTTAGTGACCACTACAGTCAATTTAAAAAACAAATTTGCTGAATTCCCTCTTACTCTGAAGTGTTATTTCAAGTCTGTGGGGGCGGCAACAGGCAAAGAGGTGTACATTTGAAAATTAAGACTCCACAATTTTAACACTGGTGCCCTGAAAGATGTGCCTCCATGTATTTGAATTCCATGCAGGGCGAGATTTAGGTATATATACATATATGGCGCTATTCCCCATTTCCAAAATGCTTTATTTAATAAATCCTGGTACTCCCTTTTTTAAGTTAGCAGTGAATACAGCCTAGTCAGGCCAATGTCTCTGTTCACTAATTTGATGACTTATTAAGTAAATTTTAAACAGAATAAAAGTAGTGCTTCCACACTTGCTATTTGTGATTTCTATTTAAAAATAGGTTTTCTATTTGTGCTCTGTCACCAATTTTTTTCCTTTCATATGGTGATTAAAGCAATATTGAACACTAATCATTCAACTAAAGGTTTAGGTAAGCAATCTGTTTCATAGAAACTAAAGGAAGCAGTCATGAAGCAGAGCGAAGAGCCTACTTTCAGAGCAAATATTCTCCTAACCAAAAGCTAGGAGCAGTTTGAAAAATTTAAAAATGTACTTCCTTATTAACATATATAATTTTAATGCCTTTGGAACACACTTTTTTAATAAATGTAATTTTTCATAATAAAATTTAAATACATAAGTATAAAAACTACTGCTCCTAGGATTAAAAAAATATAGGAGCATGATAAAATATCAGGAGCCAAAGCTCCTTCAGAGAGCAACTTTTATTCTATGAAGTGCGATATGTGTGTGTGTGTATTATATATATATATTGAAGCCCCCATTTACATTATTACAATTTACATTTCTCCACAAATTATACTACTCCCAAATATTTTAAATAACGTATTATATTCAGTACTCTGCACTCATTTTTAAAAATTCTTGGTAAACATTGCAATCTGCAGTGATAACTGGCCCTACAAAAAGGAACGAAGCTTCCATATAGGGCTAATGAGTGCTCAGAAATATTTTTCTTTCTTTTTGTTTTTTTAAAGAGATATATACTCTTCTATAAACCTCCCACCCTTGCCCTGCCCCCAACGGAGAGGGTCCCAAAATAAGGTGTTAACAAGTGCTTATTAGATATGTTTCTTAGGTTAATGTCCCAACTGACCCTTAGAAAAATAAAATAATTAGACCTTTAAGAAGACTTTGTCGGTGGTCTAACGTGAAGAAAGCCTGTAATAATTATTCAGCGAATATAATGTTCTCAATTGTTATTTTCATGTTAACCAAGATAGTCTTGTTCTACTTTACTTTGTTCCCCTCTACAAATTCAACTTATTTGCAACACTCCTACCATTGCCCACAGATGCATGAAAGTGGGATTTAACTGCACATATTTCTAGTCACTTAAAACTTTGTGGTAGTTCCTCAGGTAGTTTTCTAATGCATTTAACTTCAAATTCTCCATCTAAAAAAACTGCAAGGAAAGATGATGGATTCACATTGAATCAGATAACTTGGGGATAGGACTGTTGTTTCTGTTTTCTGCTTTTGGTTCTTAAGGGAAAGAAAAATGTATCAAATTCAGCTAGAAGACATACAAGCAATATGCTTTTACTTTACTTCTGAAAAGTCCAGTTTTTAATCCTGGCTACAGGGGCCACGATCCCTAGATAGTTCCCGGATGTAACCATGTGCTTCCCATCTATCTTCCTGCTTAGGAGTCGGTCACCCACAGAGGCTGAGTCAGTCCACTCTGGGATGAACACACCTCATGGCTGCAGTTCCACAATGGCCCTGGATTATGGACTAACGGTGGATCAACAATCCAAAAAAACTGCTGGCTGCACTTGACCCACCACTTGGCTGGGAAAGGTGGAAAAGACGAAAGAGATACTGACTCTGAAGACTCCAATGCCATACACTATTACTATTATTAAATGAAAAGGTGGCATGTTAAGAAGGATGAAACACAACAAAATATCCTGTATGCTAATTTAGGACCAACTATTAAGTGACATGAAATGCCATGTCACCTTATAAAGAGTCTCTTTTTGATGTAAATACCGGTACTTTGTATTTAGGGGTTGTTTTCCTTAAAGGCTCATAATAAAGATGGCAAATATGTTAGCCAGACAATAGCGAGTCTTCAAAACATACTGATAGGAAATTATGGTGTATCTAAGAAACATCTGTTATCTCCCCTTAACTGGACTCTTAATTCATTTGAAGCACTTGATTATTAATGCATTTAGAAGCTAGTAAAACATTTTAAACCTTGAGTTATTCACATGCATTTTACAAAATTTACATTCTATTGCTAAACTTTTTTAATGAGCCAGATGTCAAACGGTGGAGCCATTGTTATTAGACAAAAATGAAAATTATAAGATCTGAAAGTAAATTGAAAATGGGATTTGTAAAAGTTTACCACTAATAATGGCTTTCCTATATGAAAAAAAAACCTCTTAAAATATGACAATTGGCAGTGAATCAGGACAAAAGACCCAGGTAAACATAACTGAACACAAATGGTTCCAAAGCTCGTTTTAAAAGCTAGTTTCTATTATACTGGCTTAATGAAAATTTGTATTATACAAAAGCAGAAATTTTTATACTGTTTTAAAGTAGGCACTAAAATAAAAATGGTCATCTAGGGCACGGCTATACATATATTTCTGTAATAAATCCATGTCCCAGAATCCTACTGAAAAGCTTGATGGAAACGCGGGAGGGTGGTGCTTGTGCTTAAACTGCTGGTGAAAGCTGCTGACAGTGAGTGCAGAGACCCAAGCCCTATAGTGTTTGCAGGATCCTGAAGATCCTGTGTTTGTGGGGGGAGCTGGGAAACAGAAGAATGTGCTTCTTCCTGGGAATAGCTCATTCCAAGGCTCCCCACTGATATAGGATTATAGGGAGGACCATTTAAAGGTATGAAATTAAACAACTGAGAAAAATCCAATGCTGGTGTGTTGAGGGGGTCACTGATGGAGATAGAGCTTTTGGATAGGGAGAGGTCCCCTGCACCATCATCTAGGGACCCAACCTGAGGATCCAACCCTAGCTTAGATGACGATGATGCTTGGGAATCTTGGGATGAAGAGGGCATGCCACCTTGTAACTCCATCAGATAACTCTCAATTTCCCCCTTTAATGGCTGTTCTTTTTCAGGAATAGAAATTGCATATGAGGTAGAACTGAACGGATATTTGAAAGAAAGGTGATGAGAGGGATGAACAGTGTCCATGTCTATTGGGCATGTCATTCCCAAAGGTAAAGTTGTGATCATTTGGTGGGCAGATCCCGAGCTCTGCATGGACTGAAATGGAGTGTTGTAGAGGTTTAACTGCAAAGTGTTTGTGAATGGCTTTGACAACAGTTCACTGGAAGGTAAGGACATCACCGGAAGGAGCTCGTCTTTTATAGGCACAGACACATTGCAGGTAAATGGGTCAAGGAAATCCACTGGTTCTGTTTTGACCTTCAGAAGCTCTTGATTGTGACTCTTCTTCATATGTCGAGTCAGGTGATCCTTGCGTCCAAATCTCTGTGCACAATACTGACAGAGGAAGTCCTTTCTTCCAGTGTGCACCACCATGTGTCTCCGAACGTCCTTTCGGGTGTAGAACCGGCGATCGCAATGCTCGCACTGGTGCTTTTTTTCTTTAACCCCACCAGACGACTTGCCTGCATGGGATTTAAGGTGCTCCAGAAGCACTCCCGTGCTTTCAAAAGTTTGCAAACATACCTTGCAGGTGAGGTCACCACTCGTGGCGGCATGCAAGGCCAAGTGACGTTTAAACCCAAGCTTGGTATTGTAGTTCTTGCCACATTCTTCGCACTTAAACGTCTCTTTGTTAGGGTCGTGTGTATGGAGGTGATTCTTCAGATGATCTTTCCGGTGAAACATTTTCTCACAATAATTACACTTGTGGGTTTTCTCAGGAGAGTGAGTAGCCATGTGCCTTTAAACACAGATACGGTCTGTAAGTAATTATCATGACAAAAATGGCATGTATTCACTTTTCAAATGGAAACTAAACTACTACACTAACACAGAATTCCCTCAGTAACGGAAACTGTTTTAACTTAACATATACCACAGGATAGTTAATATACCTAATTACTGCAAAACTTGAGCCATTTAAGTTGCCACTTCAGTTTTTGCTGGTTTTCAGCTATCATTACAAAAGCAAATGAGCAAGACTGAATATACTCACGTAAATGTCCATACCCTTTTCTTGTCGTAATTTCTTTCTACAAATGGAAATTCTACTCATTAAGCATTTTATCTTAAAAAGTCCAAAGACACTAACACATAATAGTATGTGATTTAGAATACTAAAAACTAACCAATGTCTAATCTACTCAACATTTCCTCTCTGCAAATCAGCTGAAAAATGTGTATACATATACATACGCTTACAATGGCTTCAAATAGCCAACATAAGAGAAAATATAATCTGAAAGACAAATAGAGTTGAATACCTTTGTAATTTGTACTTAGAAACAAAGGCCTTGGTGCAGTCTTGTTGTATGCACTTGTAGGGCCTCTCTCCTGTGTGAGAGTAGGAGTGAACCTTTAATTTCTCAACACTGTTAAAGGCCTTGTCACACAGTTGGCAAGGAAAGTTTTTTCTTGGTTTGGTTTCACCACGCTTACGTTTCCCTGAAGGGACTTTCTGGGTATCTCTTACTTCTGACAAATCACCAGGAATGACAGTGGCCATCGCAGCCTAAACCAGGCCTTCTTGTTGG